AAAAATACAGAAGTTTTTGTAAAATACAACTACTACTAAATAAAATATATTTTCGACTCTTGGACTTGGAGTCTGGGTTGTCGTCTCATCAATCATGGGTGTCTCTTTGTACATAAAAGTCCTAAATAAATCCAATGTTTTTTTTATAAAACAATATATTGAGACTGTGTGAGTATGTATACTCTACAGTCGATTCTTTTTTTAAAAACAATACAGTCTCTCTCTACAAGTCTATATATTTAGTATTTTTATATAAAAAAATTGTAGTTGTTCTCTAAAATACATATTTAGGCTTCTTTATCTAATTTAGAAGAAGGCAATGAATATTACTTATTTACATATTTACTTCTCTTGTGGTTATGTCAACTGCCAAGCAACATGTGCCAAGCAACACATCATGACTCATGTAAATTTATTAAAAAAATTCCAGAGTATCAGACTACATAAATACAGACTACAGACTACAGAATACACTGTGTCACTGAGTGTACAGATTACACAAGTTAAAGTGTTATTTTTTTTAAACTCATCAGTAAGTCAGCAAGTATACTGTATTTAAAAATGACTGTACTGAAGAGTTTTTTAAAATGTACTGTACAGTGTACAGTACAGTGTACAATTACTCGAGGAATGAGAATAAATAAATGAGATGCTCTGAGCAAACAGCTGTACGCATACGTAAAGTCGGGCAGTCCTCCTGATCTGGTAAACGACGCGTCTTTTGCCTATGGCGACGCGTCGAGAACTCGAGACGCCGTTAACCTGTTCGCTTCAAGTTCTCAGTGTGGCCTGTGGAGGCCTGGGCTCTTTTTGTATATTTTAGAAAATGACTTAGAGTCAGACACTCTCAAAAGTCAAACAAATTCTATACATTAATCATTCTCAATTTCTCAAGTCATTCAGGCAATCACACCTCTGATCACTCAGAGGGACAGAGGCTCACTGGACAGTGGGCAAGTGGGCTCTACTACTCTAGGAGCTCAGTCACAGACGGGTCTGCAACTCTGGACTCTGGAGTCATATATATATATATGTATGTATGTATATATATATATTTCTGGGCTCTGGAGTCTACAGTATTTACCGGTTGAATATGTATTTACATTGTCATTGTACCTGACCTGGTTTCAGGCATAGTCGGAAAATGTAGTCTGAAAGTAGTTTCAGACTGTACATTTTACATGGCGTCCACAATCATTTCAACACTTGCATATCATTGTACTGCAGGCTTCTTTGTCGCAAGACTTAATGTCCTTTATTGTTTTGATTTTTTGATCGCATACAGCACAGTCCTTTGGCATGAAAGCAAGTGCACGTTATCGCCTGAAGACGTAAACAATACACTCTGGGGTGTATCACTGTTGCGACAATCTCAAATATACAAGTAAAGAGTATAGAAAACCTTATGTATTCTGATTCTCTGTATTATCAAATATGGTGACTGAAAATACTTGGTCGGTGGCTACAGCGACCAGCGGACCAGCACCTACCCACCAGGCCGACTATAAATATATACATACATGTCGGAAACTCTATACTATTTACGTCAAAGATATGCCGGAATTGTTTTAAACCTACATTACTTTTCGACATGTCGGCACTCGGCACTCGTCAGTCGAAATCTGAAACCAGGCCCGTTTATTTTTTTGAATATTCTTCCTTAACAGATGTATAAATTCCAAAAAATGCTCTGCATACACTCTTTTTTCTTTAATTCGGTCGGGCATTTGGGTCGGGGACTCGGGGATGAAAAAATAAAATAAAATTGTTATATAAAATAAATATGTATTTATTAAATTGTTTTATTTTTGTTCGTTTTTAAAACAAAAAAAAAACAAACCTAATTTTGCAATATATGTCGTCTGGTGCGGGGATGTGAACTTCATTACATTGTATCACACATTGAGGGAGATACATATTCGGCTATAAATAAATAGAATTATCCCATGACGAGTTTACGTAAGACGTGTGCTTTGCTTTTATCACTCGGTGCGAGTCAAAGTGTGGCTCTACCAGGATACAAGAATCGAGTACCCAATGGTGCGGCAGTTCGTTGCTTCGACGGTGCAGAAGACTGCAATCGTGAAGGTGAAAGATATTTAGCATTTGTTGAAGCTGATTTTCCGAATGTGCGATTACTTCAGTCATGCCTTCGCGTTCACTCCTATTTGAATTTGTTTTATTGATGAACCATGGTACTTGATATATTTGCATCAACGAGTCTTGGAATAAATAACACGATGTATTCAAACCTGATATCTGTTCTATTTGAACAGGTATCTGCGAGGGATTAGGTCACGCCACTTGCGCTGGCGGTTCTTTTCCTTTGAATCCATTTGGGGTTAGTTTGACAACCAATGGCCACCAGTGGACACTAGAGCTATGCAATGAGGATAGCGATGGCGATGGTTAGTTTGCTACCCTATGTTCTTGCTGTCATAAACTTTTTGTGTTGCAGTACGTGCATCGATGAGTATAGTCACGACGCTTCTCTAAGCTGTTCGTATCTAACATATAAATGTATAATTTCTATATTATTTGCTTCATACTGTAGGTCTCACCAATGGTCAAGAGCTCGGGGATCCCTGTTGCCAGTGGGTGGTGGGTAGTTCACCACACGTTTCACTCTTAAATCCAGAGTTTATGCCTTCACATCCAGGTAATCTATTGGTCTTACGCCTCGTAGGCACGTTACTGAGACGATTGCGCAGATGATATGTTGCCTTACATAGCGATAAACATTCAAATTGATCGTTCTTGACTTGTATGATTTTAGAGCTGTGCATTTGTGTCACGCTTTCATTTGCATGCAGTCTTTTCAATTTGTATTTTAACGCTAGTACAGGAAATTCTCTGGACAAGCACACTTTTGATCTTTCAGCCGTGATGTGTGAGATTGATCGGGATGAAATATCAGAGTCTGTATGGACACCTCCAGATGCTGAAAAAGAGGGATGGTATCAACCTGGCGAGAGCGAGGTATGTATTGTTTTGTTCGTCGGCGTGTGTGGTTTCGTTGAGGTCAATAGAGTAATCTTCTCCTAGTCGATTTATATCCATAGTGTCCTGGCAATTTTATTTACTTATTTTTGCCGTAAACAACCGCAGATGTCTGTTACTTACGTGATGAAGAATAATATAACATTGCCGGCAAAAGTGACGGAATACATAACCTACGGGTTCAAGGTCGATTTTAGTGAGCACGATGTGCTCCATATGGTGGGCGCGGAGGCAATTGTTGGCAACGTAGAGAAGGTGCATCACTTCCTCCTGGTAAGTAAGAATAGTTGTAGTTCTCACACTTTAGCATTATGTCTTGGAGTGCAGCTGCGAATTTGAAGATGATTGAGTTGGTCATGTCGCTTTTCCGTCCGGCTTGAGAAGTTGTGCGATTGTTTGCTGCGAATTTGCGTTGCGAGATCGTTGAAGTCCAGCAAAATATCAACGATAATAATTGTCGTGAAAATTACAATTCTTATCAGTTTGGCTGTAAAGATGCTGGCGATATCATCGAGAATGGAGAGGAATTACATCGACTACCCATGGAAGACGCAGATTGCGAGAATTCGGAGTTCATTTGGGGCTGGGCCCCAGGGGTCTCGAAAACAAGGTACGCTACTTCTAGTATTAAATCAGGAAGGACTCACAAATAGGTATTAGGCACTCTAGGGAAATACTGCTGGAGTTGAAGTTCTGCTCCTGAGACTATTCAACATAGCACTTTTCCTCAGTTGTAATATGGAGTCGTGCTATGGGCTTGCATATAGTAATTTGAGGCAAGCTCATCTGGATTTTTTATGCCTTTTCTTCCGGACATTCAGACTTCCAGCGGAGGCCGGCATCAGGTTTGAGAATGGAACTCTGAATAACTACCTACATCTGCAAATCCATTACGACAATCCAGGCCAGGAAGCAGGGGACTATGACATGTATGTGTGAGTAGCGATTTGTGTGAGAACGCTCAGTGCATGTCGCTGATCGCGTAAAATGTATCGCCCTGTGTCAAACAGAAGGTATTATTCAATTCGGGATCCAGCTCTTTATATTAGTTTATGTATGTGGTGTGGTTTATATTGCGGGTGTTTAGCGCAACTGATCTTTGCTGTGGTGAGTGCTAGTCATGCAAAGCAACTAATCTCTGCCGCGGCTCAAGCGTGGCGTTTAACGCGACTTTTTCTTTTGCTGTGGTTTACATTTTACAGGTCTGGTGTAATTCTGTATTTCACGCCTGACCTGCGTACCTACGACGCTGGTATATTCCAGACTGGCTATGCCTTGGGTGTTAACATTGGAGAGATACCACCGCTTAAGCCTGGTTTTTTCAAATCGCACATTTGCGAAGTGGATATGGAAGCTGGGGTATGTAGCCGGTATAAATTTGTATGTAGCCGGTATTTATTTGTATTTAGCCGGTATATATTTATATGTAGCCGGTATATAATTGTATTTAGCCGGTATATATGTGTATGCAGCCGGTATATATTTGTATGTAGCAAGAGTGGTATATATTTGTGGTAATAGTTTGACTCCAACTTTGCAAATTGTGGATTTATAACCGTGTTGCAGAGTTATATTATAGGGTTTTGTTGCAGTTTACAGTTACTAACCTTGAAATATAACTGGCTCGTATTTTATATTCGAAATTTCGTGCCACAGGAATCGGTTACAGCATTTGCTTGGTGGGGACATGCACATCTGCTCGGCCGCGCTGTATGGAATGAACACTACCGCAGCTGTGAAAAGATCGGCGAATTAGGGCGGGAAATGGCATATTGGTTTGATAACCAATACTATGGATTATATGAACCTACCGAAATACGAAACGGAGATGCTATCCAGACCACGTGCGTCTTCAATTCCGAAGAGCGCACAGAGAGCACTTGGGGTGGCATTGCTACTAGAGAAGAAATGTGCTACAATAACATCATGTACTATCCCAAAGACAATGTAAGTGGTTCATATGTTTGACTTTGTTTGTAGAATATATTTTGTCGATTCTATTTACCATCTTTAAGGCAGGTTGGAGGTTGTTTCTATTTGGCGTTTGAGTCCAACGTTGTGCATCGAAGCACAAGAAAAATGTTAATCACTTTTGTGTTGCACATCCTTGTACGCGCGCGCCGCACAGCCAGCTGAGTGTGATGTACGTGTGCAAAGCTGTGATCCGATGTGTTGATACTAAGCCCATTAACCGGACCTTATTCTGATTATGCTTTAACTATTCGACGACACAGATAAAATGCAGAACGAGAGATTTCTACGATGGAGATCTACTACCAACTGACAGCACCTCACAGTTTGTGTTGTCTCATCCGGGACCTGTATCGGGCGGCAAGCCAGGATGTGAGGAAAGTCTGAGTGAGAAGCCTCAGATGAACTTTATGCCCGTGATAGTATCCTTTATCAAAGCGCAATGTGCACAAGCCCTTGGAGATGAGACTACCAAAAAAATCACGGATGTTTTCCTCAACGCAGGCGACGAAGGTGTATGTCTTTACCGTGAGCCTCGATTAACTTAACCTTTCTGCCACGCATACATACTCTGACTGATTTCATACTGAGTGTGGCGTAAGCCTGACGCAGGTTCTGATACGAAAGCTCCTAAGTTTGTTCTTGTAGATTCTGACGAGAAAAAACATTCTTTGTTTTTATTATCTCAGATAAGTTCAATATTGAAGGCCTGATCCAATCGGTGTTTAGTGCTACCTGTGATACGCCACAAGTCGGTGGCGTTTGCCCTCAGGATTGTCTGAGCTTGATGGACGGTCTCGCGGATTGCGTTGGGACAACCTATGGGTACGTATGCCTTGTTTTTGCAGTGTGTGGTGGGTGGGTGGGTATTGAATCAAAAAAATATAATCGGTGCGTAGACCGTTTCAATTTCTCGCGTGCTTTTGCACTCATCTCGCTTACGTTATTAGTCATGTTTTAGAGTGTTTGAAGAGTATTCGTCATGTTTGTATCTAAATCTTTGCCCTATACCACTTTTAAATTCTATGATCACTTTTATCACTGTGTGAGCTGTGACGGCAGTTTAATGAATAGTCTGGGTCACCTGGGGAGACATCCGCAAATCTTAAACCTTAACACTATCGTTCCATCCTAAACAGCGCTTTTCTTACCGGTTCCTTCCCTACTTTATGCTCGAATTGGGTTCCGTTGGAGGCGGAAAGCGAGTAGGCTCTGCTGGCGGAACGGCGCAATTAGTGGAAATGACATAGATGAGCCGTACTAGAATGAGCGAGTAACAACGTTTGCTGAGAAAGGTTTCTTATCAGCGTCGCGATTAGTAATTGTGTATTGTATGCACGTACGTCCTCTCGTTAAATATAATGAATATTCTGTTCAAAGAAACATAAATAATGTATTTGGAATGAGTTCGATCGACAATTCAATGGCCATCACCAAATTTATCACTCAGCGCAAGTTGTAGACTCCAGCTGTACTAATTATATTGAGGCTTTTGTACCAGAAGGGATCTTGCATCCCTTCGTTGTGTGATCTCTTACTTCACCAACCGCACTGATACTTCCACTGCGGGACGGGCAGATTGCTAAATCGAACGTCGCAATTCGAATACGGCGAACTCAGAGATTTGTTCAAATATGACATTGTTTTATGCCGAACTAAAAGTATATAGCTCCCAAAAGTGTATGCTTGTGGAAGCCCCTAGCATTTCGTCGGCACAATTGAAACCCAATAACCAAGCACAAGCATTCATCTGACTGATATGCATTATAATTGTGAACTATGTGGACTAGAAAAGGCTTGTTTGTATATTTATTGATAGCTTTATTCTGGATACAATCAAGACTCGTGACCGAAATTTCTTAGGCAATTGTAAATCAATACTAGTTGCAATCGATCGCACACATAAAATCGATATTAAAATTCAATAAATCCTACATAGGTGCATATATCGTCCCATGTCGTATATACAAGCTTATTAACATACATTATATTATACTACTGCTGATATGCGTACATGAATATGCAATGGTGCCCATAATGGTGATATATTTATATAGATGAGTATATAAACTATGTATGTATGTAGTTTATGTGCTGATCTCTCTCTCCTATCCTACTGACAGTAAGACTGCTATGTATTTCGAATTCAGCGACTTCGACACATACATTATATTATACTATTACTTATTTATACCTACGTGAATATGTATTGGTGGTGATACTAGTGATTTATATAGGTGTGCTTATATATTTATATACTATTACTTATGTATACCTATGTGAATACGTGATGGTGGCAATAACGGTGGTTTATATAGATGTGGTCCAGTGACAGTCAGACTGCTATATGTTCGTATTCAGCGACTTCAACATATACATTGTATTATACACTATTTCTTATATATACCTTCTGCGAGTATGTAATGGTACTTATACTGGTGATTTATATAGTTGTGGGTATATAAACGTATGGCTGTATGCATTAACGTGCTGACCCTACTCTCTCTAGTGACAATCAGACTGCTATACATTTTGTATTCAGCTACTTTCACCTATACATGACCAGTATTGGCGCTCATACTGGTGAGTGGGTATATAAGCATAAATATGTATGTACATACGCGCTGATCTTCTCGCTCCCTCTATCTCTTTCTCTAGCGACAATCAAGACTGTTGTGTATTCCGTATTGAGCGACTTCCACCTATACATTATATTATACTAATACCCATATATGTCTATATGAATATACTTTGATGCTCATACTTGTGACTCCTATGGATGTGCTTATGTATGTATGCATTTATGTGATAATCTCTCTTTTCTAGTGACAACCAGACTCTTATATATTTAGTATTCAGTCGACTCATTTGATGTGCTTATGTGAATATGTAATGGTTCTCATATTGGTGATTTATGTAGACGGGGGGGGAGGGGGGAAGCGTATGTATGTACTTATATATGCATTTATGTGCTGATCTCTCTCTTTCTGGTGATAGTCAGCCTCCTATATAATTTGCTATTCAGTTCGACTTATTTATATTTATGCCTATGTAAATGTGTAATAGTGCTCATACTGGTGATTTATATAGATGTGGGCATATAATCGTATGTATATACATACGTACCTAGGCATTTATCTGATCTCGCGCTCACTCTTTCTAAGAGTGGCAGTCCAAGTCAGAGTGTATCAGCGTCTCCCTAAATATGGAAGCTCGCTTTAGGCGGCAAACATTTAGCTTTTATCATATTCCTTTGGCTTTTTATGGTTCAATTTTTAAATAATAGGAGAAATTCATATATTTATATGTAATTAAATATAGACACTCGATAAGTGCGATACTTAGTATATACTTTGATATGAATAATACAACTGTCCAAACCGTAGATACACATAATAAACGTGATACACGGTTCGTATGGACACATATGGTACATGGTTCGTACCATAGCTTCCTACAATGAACATATATACAAAGCAAAAGGTACATTTAATTGAGCATTGTACTTAGCTATGAGCTTATATGATAATAATCACATGATTACGTTAGGGTTGATTTACCCTCGTTGCACTATATATCACAACATCTTACACGCGAATGTACATGGTATGCCTTCGTCTACACTTGTTGTGCCACTAGACGTGCGTTTAGATTGTATACCATTAACTCCTTGTGTACCTATATGCTAGCTCTTTACTTTTCGTCATTAGATTAAAGGTAGAGAACTTCAAACTGAGACTAAACCACTAAGCGTGTGTATCTGTGGCCCGTTAATGCTCTGGAAACCCGAGATTTTAATTGATCTTATCACACGATAGTGTTCAAACTATTAAATTACTATAAACAGGGGCTATGACTGTGAGCGTGTGTGCATCTGTGGCCTGTTAATAGTCTATATATCCAATCATGCTGCTTGTTACCACCACACAATAGTGTTCGGACTCTCCATAGCTGCAAGCAATGACTCTGATATCGCATTGCTTACACTCAGTTATCCGTGACTGTACTGCCTTGCGTAGACATGCACTTCTGAAGACTAAAGAGTTTAAGGAAAATACTACTGAGAAGCCATGCCGAAGCAGACACAGGATGTGGAACACAAGTCTGAAATGGCCGAACTGGTCGCACAGCACGAGGTGAGTGTACCTGAACACCCGAGCAAGCAGGGGTTGTACGGGATACTTCTTGCGTAATTCACGTAAGTTTGTGTACCTACAAGTCGATTGCATACACAATATAAACATAGTACACGTATATTTGAATGTGTACACGATAGAAACATAGGGCACGTATATTTGCATGCGTATACGATAGAAACATAGCACACGTATATTTGCATGTGTGTATGCATACTTGTAGGTCAAACGCATACATGGCATGTACATGCCATGCGTATATTTACACATGTGTAGCGTGTATTTGCAACTCGATAACGCCAACCAAGATTAACTTCTCGAATATGTTACTACTTCTATGGTAATAGCTACTTGAGCGACACTCTCTCTGCCTACGTTAGCTCTGATCGCTCGAACACCCAAGTGTTTGTTGGTCAGACTTTGTGGACTATTGATCACAACCTTACGGTCTGAGACTGAGGCTGTTGCGGCCTCTGGCTGTCGTGGCTTGCAGGATCGGTTAGACACTTCTTTGTTCCAACCTAGCCTATAGTCTAACTATATGCCTATAGCCTACGGTATATGTCTATAGTCTATGGTATATACCTATAGTCGACGGTATATGCTTAGTAGCGAACTGCAAACATACGGGAAGACTTTATAGGATATGAGGACCTGGCTTAATTCATATGTGAAAGTCTGTTTAGAAGTGAAGGCAGCTCCCATATTGCAACGTAAAAGCGTTGCCAATAAACTCACTCTCAAGCATGTTACTCTTGACATACCGGAATATTCTAACGTTTCAACCCAAGATCAGTGCTATCAGCATTGTGCATGATCTTATATGGTGCGTGCAGTTATATGGTGCGTGCATAGTGTACCCCCTGAGACCCACAGCTTATACTCGCCGCAGGTCCTTACCATAGTGGTTGAGGGTGCTTTGTACCTACCTATTATAGCATGTACTGAATGGGCCTATCCGTCTGAAACTTACAATACAGCGAGAAGTGGCCAATATCATAGAACAACACGTCGCTGAGATGATAGCCTTAGTACTGCGAGAGAAGAGGAAAGGCCTTATAGAGTATTCCGGTGGGTTTGGAGTTGTTGTATGGTTTACATACAAATGCGTACCTAGGCTTGTACTATTGAGAGCCTGTGATTGATCTGCACAGATAGCCAGTGTATGTGGTTTGTTTGTTTTGTTTCCGCCGGCATACTCATGGGCAACGTCAAAGAGACTCGTCCGTTGTACACTTTTCCAGTGTCCGATCTGTCGTTGTCGTGATGCTGCGGTGAACAACACCCTCAAGCGCAGTGTAGCAGTGCTTGCGTGTAGTATTCCTGTGACTACCTCTGCAGTCGTGCGCTGATTACAGTGTCAACAATAATGCATTGATAGATAGTGTTGCACACCATCTTGGAGCTGGTCGCACCCACTTCGATGTACACGTTCGTGTGCATATCATGTGTCTATATGCTTGTGGCTCCGCCTAAGCCCGCCGATGTCTTGTCCAGCGGACTCTCGTAGTCAACTGCCACGGAGCAGAAGTGACTATAGTGTGTATCGATATGTAAAAATGCTGAACTATTATGCGTTGTTGAGGCATTTGCGACATAAAAGCTGTGCCTATAGTCCACGTTTAGTAATCTCAGAGTGTTTGAGCTCGAGTGGATGTAAATGTCAGAATGGGAGTGGCTGGTATTGAGCTTACTTTATTCGTTGCTGGGGAATGGTGTCTTTATTCGTGTATTCCAAATGGACAATACTGGGCACCAACTTTGCAACTACAATTCCATATTGCTCTCCTGGTGGCGGTGATCACATGTTGCTTTCGCAGTGTTGTTCTCCACAAGGTGTTGGAGGGTTATAAGTATCTGCAATATTGGACTACAGCATGCACATTAGCGTATCATATAGTGTATGCCGGATACGAAGGATACTCTAGCTTAGTCAGCTTTTGCACAACTAGATATCGTCACAGAGAAATCAGCACGGGGATCGCGCAGAGCGGTAGAGTGAAATAGAGTTGGTAATTTAAATCCATGAGCGTATATATCTGAAAGTGTCATTCATTCGGTATCCTACTACGAACTCATTCGTCTATCATGTCATTGTCATGTTTACTTGGACTATTGACAGAGGCCACCATAGGTCCAGACGATCCCTTCCAGTTGACCGCACGTCGTCATGGCAACCAAATGAGGTATTTGAGAAGTGTCCACAAACAAGCCCAGAAAGAGCTCAGAGTCAAGCACCGAAATATCATCAAAGCTAAGAATGCTGCTCTAAATCTAAACAAAACTCCGAAAAAGGTGTGAATTCAGTGCGTGTTTCCGCCATGTTTATCTTTTACATTTATTCCATCGCACGCGTATGAAAAAGTATGGTAGCTGCTATCGCTGGTGTAAATTGTGACACCACTCAGTTGTGAGTTGTGAGTGGGATCGATAGTGTGTAGGTTTGGAGGGGGGATTACCTGACCTGCTGTTAGGATGCTGACTAACCCGCTCTCTATTGTCAGTATTCATAATGCTTCATGGACGTGTGTGATCTGCGCGCATAAAGAAATACATATCGCTCGCATCTTATTTTTTAAAATAGGCATCGTAACTTACTTTATATATAGATAACACCCACTCCGGCACCAGTGAAGGAGCAATACTCAGCGAAGAGTATCCAGAGTACCATAGACAGTCAACTGAAAGTCACTACTGTCAATACACCGATCTACACAAGCCTGGACGGGGATGCTGATGAAACTTCAGCTGCACAAACAGTTAGATTGTTAGTCGACCAGAATATTGCTACTATCACACCTGTTTCAATTGATCCGAGCCTAGACGGGGATGCTATTGACAGTGTAACTGAAACTATCAGTATTCAGCGAACGGTAGGTTGTCAGGACATATCCCCGGCTATTGGTACACCGTGCAAGCAGAGCTCAACAGGGTATACTGACCAGAGGTCAACTGCGCCTGCGATTAAATGCGCAGAACAAGGCCCGACAACCGTACAGCGCGAAACCGAAACGTCGTGGATAAGGACAAGGAATGACACACCAGTACCCGTCACGCAGACGATGGAGGGAAGTACAGTTATGCAACAAGTCACACACACGCCCACATCCAGTCGTAGTAGTTCAGCGGAGAATCCACAAGCTAGGGTTGTTCATGGGATAGCACCTGCCACACCGATACGTGGCATGGGGACTAAGCAGATGCACACCCCTAACGAGACACAAACAGATCAGGTCGATCTTATTACGGACCTGTCGTATACATCAGTGTCTGGCACTACACCCGACCACGCACGCTCCCTCGTAAGACCTGTGGCTAGGACTAGTGCGGAGTTAACACAGCACTGGCCAGGGCGTGATGCGCGAGTGGCTGTGGATGGAGCAGACATTGCGGGTAAGAATGCTCTATCCGTAGAGCGTAAGAGTACAGGTGCGTGCAGGGCGAGTGCGAACATGGTTCTAGACCAAGGGATGAGGACACCAGAAAGAGCATACGCAAATAAAGAGACACGTACAGATGAGAGTGTATGCATGAATGGAGGGGCGTACGCGACCAAGAGACAATGCGCCGAGGAAATGGGTAGTATGTGTACGCCAGTGCAGACTCGGCAGGATAGCAGGACACGAGTACTGCGCATGGATGGCACATCTTTCTCACCGCCAGACTATGTACCAGCCACGCAGCCACATAGAGTGCCAATACCAACTACGGACAATACACAAATATCTCGGTCTGACTGTGTACAAATACTACAACCACATGCAGCACATCCCTTACCTACATACAGTGTGCACACGCCACGGCAGGACACGGAACAGACGCCACAAGCGAGGGACAGTGCATATGGCACCAGCACAAAGGTACGGCTGCAGTCTCACCTCGACGATCCCACTACCCCGATTCGTTACCATGGTAACCATACTTTTATCACTGGACCGACACCCGGTTCCCGAGGTAATTTGAACTTCTTTACGCGTTTACCGACGCACGCTGGAGCATCCACATCCGGGGGTGCGGATAAGCAGATATCAACAGTATCAGTGAATGGTCTCAGCTCAGTAGGTAAGGGTGTAGCTACAGCAGCAGGAGGGTTGAATGCTGTTGTCTCGAGTGGTGGTATGGTCTCTGAAGCACTGCAAAACGAAAGCACTGCCATTGCGAGTGACCCTAAAGCTATAGCATCGATGGGAGAGAAACATCATGTTTTCATGGACGACAGTAGAAACACAGAACCAATTTTATGGGATAATTCCTGTACCACGGATTGTATTGCGACTGCTGATCCCTTAGATATAAAAGGTTTTAATTTAGCAAGCGTAGGTGCGAACGCTCAACCCCTGCTTATCCAAGCAACGGTTACGAGCTCGCCTCTTACACGCACACGCACTCCCAATATGAACACCATGACCCCCATGCAGTTCAACTACTACTCGGCTATGCGACAGCAGTACAACAGTAGGCTACAGCAACGCTGCACACCGCCTCACACCAACAGCTCCACATACCCTCCACACACTCGAACGCCCACTCTTGCAGAGCTCACTATCAACCACGCCCACCCTGGGGCCAGTCGAGTAGCCCTAACTTGCCAGTCACACGTGTCTGTGCCAGCAAACCAGCATGATGGTAGTGCCTATGTAGCGTGTACCGAGGACAGCGATGAGGGACATACTGGCGCTGAGACGCATCTGGCGGGTACGGGCGGGTGTGCGTCTAACACTCGGATCGAGGCCACAGAACCGCGTGTGAATAGAAAACGAGACAGTGGCGTGTGTATGGATGCGATGGGGATGGATTCTGCGCCGCAGTCTGGATGGAGGTCAGATTCAATGCATATGTTGCAGGCTAATGGTTCCTCTGATCTGTGTGCCAATAGCGTTGGTGTAGGTTGTGTGGGCTCTGGCATCGATACGACGTCGCAGCAGGCGGTTAGTACTAAAACATTGGGCCCAGACGCTGGAGACGAGGGCATCGTGTCCATGGAGGTATCTGCAGGTGTAGGTAATACTATACACTTGAGCGCATCTGGCAGTCACACGCAGGTGCCTGTCGCATCGTACACAAATATACAGAGCGTGGAGTGCACATCCACTGCCCTCGAGTCTCCCGCGCCCGTAGTTGCGTCTGGTGGTGTGCATGGGGGTGTACTTGCTACACCGAGCCATTCTTCGATAGTGCAACGCCTCACCCAAGCTAGTAGTAACAGTATGGTGTGTACGGCCGATAGTGATACGCACCCACACTCTGCAACACCCCCTCCGACTACTATCAACCAGTTACCTACACTTGCGGGCCACAGCCCCGACCAGTCAGGCACAGAATGTACTGTATCTATTTGTAGAACCAATCAATCGCCGGAATCTGCGGTGGCGGCCGATTGGACAGTTGAGCCGGCGACTACCGTAGCTGCGGCTGAGACGAATGTATATGAAGGCGCCTCTATGGAAAGTGCAGAGTTAAACACACATACACTTGAACTTTCAAGTGCAAAGGCACGTCTGGAGATGCGGAAGGATAGTACGAGTGCGTGTCCCGGACTTACAACGGCCAACACACAGGTGCACGTGCACGTACAGCCACAGGTGGTTGATATGACTCCGGTGTCTACACGCACACGCACACGCACACGCACACGATTGGAGAACAATGGGGCGCAAGGTATGTCTGTAGTGGCTCTTCGAAACTTCAAAGTTGCTGCCTCTAATCCTCAGGCGAATGTGTTTCCTCAGGCGAATGTACTTATTGTCCCATTTTGGGTATTGGAGTTTTGTTTCTGAGCGTATTTGAAACGTTCTATTTTTAGATAATGGGCTCCTCAGCACCAGAATAGGCCAATGAGTAAATCTGATCCTTGCTGACTAATCGGGTCCAATTCGATTCAACTCTACCTGAATTTATTCCATACTGTTTGCTAATGCCATGCTGTTTATTGTATCAGCGAGTCTGGAAACACAGGCGCAGACAATCAAAGAGGAACAAATATGTACCGAACTGACTACGAGTGATCTGGCCCACATGTATCTTCAGCAAGATGATTTGGAGACCATCGATGCCATCATCAAATCGGAGTTTCCTTCAGAAGATGCTAAGGTGAGGTTTCCATCGTGTTGATTATATAGAAGCACATAGGGTTGTGTGCGTGTGTTTATGTGTATTTATGCATACGCCTCTAAAGCAGCACGGTATGCACACGCAATACTTGAGCGTGCTAGAAGCTCTCCTGTGAAGTAAAAAGTATCCACCCTGTGAAATGATGCAGGCAAGAGCACATCCTCTCGCACATATTATCTGCTGATATGTGCATAGATACGTACGCATCAACTGTACACTTACTTTCCTAAGAAGTAGGTACATACGAATGTATAGGCAATATGAATCTTTGTTATCATAGACGGCAAAGAGCACATAAAACCGTGCGAAGAAAGTCCTGTGACTCCAACAGATGCCTTCGATGACTGCTTGTCGCGAGATGTCTTTCTTTCAGTATTTATATCTGTGCCAAGAGCTTCTGATATATGCAGTTGTACGCTGGCAAGTCCAGTGCATCACTTATCCGTCGGTCAATGCGAATAGACATACACTCTCAACAGCATCCCCAGTAACACTGCTGCAGTGATCATTACGCGCAATGCTAAGTCTCTGATTTCCCGGTCGTCTTGCTGCATGATAGTCATAGCTCGCAAGCGCAGAATAAAAACTCTCGAATGGAGTTGAATAGAACGATTTATTTTATCTGTCTGTCTATATGATATTAATTCCAACTGGTTACTCGTTGTCAGGGCATACGTTCGTGCTATGGCCAGAGCTGAGTCGCACAGAGCACACTGTGCATACTTAAGCATGAAACATACCTACCTACATCATACCCGCTTTGAGCTCTGATAAATTCGCACTCGCGCCATAGCGTGAAATGGTGCTATGTGCAACTCGCCTCATCACTCACATCTACTACATACACAGTAGAGCGACTGGTATCAACGACAGTCGAAACTGATCTACTACTCGTTGAATCGTGCTGATCAACTCTGCGCGCTACGCAACGCACTGCCCTCCTCGCACCAATGAAGTTCTTGCGTATAAACGTTCCTACTCCACGTATTTTTATCAACGATTCTGGATCAAAGACACCCAACTGAATGACCTCTGCACTACTGTCTGAACCTGAGACGTAGCGTACACACAGGTGCACTGTGACCTATGCATATCAACCGTCGTGTATACTTTAATATGAGTCTGAATGATCTCTGTACCCATTACATGCACGTACTTGACAGACGGAGTCCATTCTTGACTGCGAAGAGACTGATCCGCCAGTGGAAGAGTATACCACACCACTTCGTATTTCCAAAAAGAAAGGGACTCCCCCATCAGAGGGTAGGCCCAAATTGTTTCCCACGCTATATATATATATACATCCATATACTATATATATAAATACATATATATATATATATATATATATATATATATATATATATATATACATATATATATATATATATATATATATATATATATATATATATATATATTATGTATGTATGTATGTATGTATGTATGTATATATATATATATATATGTG